TGGCTCTCTGGGTTTTAATTTAGGCTGCGGCGATGTGGGCAACGGGAGTAGAGGCCTGAGTCAGCAGCAGGTGAATCAGATAGCTGTGAGTCACCTCCCAGAGCCTGAGCTTCCAGCTCCCACGGAGGGGGCGGCTCGGGGCTGCCGCTTGGTTTTCGGGAGAAACGAGGTGTGGAAAGGCGGCTGGGAATCACGTGAGCATCAGCCTCCTCTGGCGTGCTAGTTTTGCCATCTGGATAAAGAGCTGGAAGATGCTCTTGGAGCTCGGATGCCAGCCTCGTGGAAACCTCCAGAAAGGAGGGTGGAGGCAAGAAGGCCACCAGAAACTGCCAGGGGCAAAAATGGAAGGATCCCTGGGCTCTCCTCTGAGCCTTGGGCTTCATCTTCTGGGTAAGCTGGTGCAGATGGCGTGTGTTTGAACGCAGGCCCTGCCCATTCTAGAACTTAGCTGCACAATAATTCCTCACGTTTTTATCCCCTCCGGCTTTTACAATAAGCATCCCAGGTGGGTATTGAGGGCACCACTTTGTCCAGCCTGCTCAGGGGGATGGCTTGCCAAAGCCCATGGAGCAAGGCCTTTCCCGGCTTCTGAGTTCACACTCCAGGTGCCAGCAGCTCCAAACGTCTACAGCTTGTGCCCAACTTCAGGATTCTAAAGACAGATCATGGACATTCGAGGGAGGAAGACATGTCAACAGTCGGCTTAAGAAGGAGAACCATGTTGCAGCTGGGAGGAGATTAGGGAGGGAGGGAGGGAGGAAGGAAGGAAAGGAGAGAGGAAGGAAGAAAGGAAGGGAGGGAGGAAGGAAGGAAGGAAGGAAGGAAAGGAAGGGAGGGAGGAAGGAAGGAAGGGAGAGAGGAAGGAAGGAAGGAAGGAAGGAAGGAAAGAAGGAAGGCAGGCAGGCAGGCAGGCAGGCGGTAGGGAGGAAAGGAGGGCCAGGCGACATGTCCCTTGGTGAGTCTGAAGCTGGTGCCCACATATTCCCTTTGGCACCAGGTCCAGCACCAAGGCACGACATGCCCCCTCCTGGCTTTGTGCACCCTCGTCCCCAGGAGCAAGCAATGTGAGAAAACAATGCATCCACACGGCCTCCTGCTTCATTCCACGGAGTTTCTGGTGAGGCTGGATTTAGCGCCAGCAAACTTGATTTGGAAAAAAAAAAAAGAGAGAGAAAAAGCCTCAATCTTCCCCCAAACTCAAAAAGGGCTATTTTTGAGTTCTGAAAAAGAACATCGAGTTCTCTCTTCTGCCTCTGCCTTGGCAGGGTTTGCGAGGCCCGTCATTCCACTGAGGAGGCTGAGATAGTGGCACTCATCCCCAGCATCTGTGCCGAGGCCTGGGCTGGGGCAGATGGCCGGCAGGAGGGGGGCTTTCCTGCCTCCTAGGAAAGGTGGGGGGACTACAGCTGGATGCTTCAGTCTTAGTCCCCACAGAATCCCAGGACAGGGGCCTGAGAGTAAGAGGGGACACCTGGAGCGAGAGGATGGCCCAAGGTGCCCCCTCAGATAGCTGCACTCTGGGAGATGTCAACTGCCCTCACGGGTGGCCCGAGTCTGCCTCTGAAGGGCAGCCTGCCCCTTCCCCTGTTCCCTCTGCCCCACCTGAAGGGGCTTTGAAGGTCATATCCCGGGGTGGGATGGGGTGTTTGCAGAGGACACCCAGGGGCCTCCCAGGCCCAGAACTTCATGCTGTCTGCCCAGACAATGCTGGGCATTCTGCCAGCAGCCTGTGGGGGCACACTTTATGGTGAGGGTTACACGTTTCTTGTCTGCCAGTACATAGTACCTGCTGCTTAGCCCTATCGGAGAACAGTCCTTAGGGTTTTCCAAGACTGGAAATCTCTCTGGCACCAGACGGCCTCATCTTTTTCTCAAAAAGCAGCAGGTAGATTTGAGTGGTCCACCTTGTTGTTTGCAGCTTAGCCCACAGGCCCACCTTCCGTGATGTCTGCCAATGCATTGAACGCACGCACGCATGAAGGACACATCAACAAGAACGCCAGTTAACAAACGGGGATCTCACTTTCCTGCATCCTCGCCCAGGCCCGGGTCCCCGCCTCCATGTTCTCACCACATATAGGCCAAGCCTGCAGAGCAAGCTGCCCAAAGGGGCTACCTCTACCTTAGCTTCTGAGGAACGCCTGGTGGTTTCAAACCATTGACCTCATGGTTGGCAGGGCAATGAGTAACCACTATACCACTGGGGCAGCTCCATCCATAAAGTGTGATAATAACAAAACCTACTTTGTAAGATGACTGCGATTGATAAATGCAAAAGCCTATCTAATGCCACCCACATAGCCCCTGGCAGGTCACTGGTGGTCAGCCAATGTTCAGTCCCTCCCTCCCCAGAGACACTGCGCCTTTGATGGGGCTGATGGGACATGACAGGCAGGCAAGGCTAGGCAGTTCATGTTAGTGTGGCCCCTCTGCTTTCCGGACATCAGAGGGTACAATCACATGAACAGATATGTCATTATGGTAGATATGTAATCGTTTGTCAATTTGAGGATTCAGAGTGTAGGGGTGGAGTCTAGCTTGTCAATCAGATCATAGCCAATGAGGCCTCTGTGTGGGCATGGCCTTCTCCTGAGAATTCTGGGAAATCTGGTGCTTCCTCCTTGGAGGCGGGAGATACTTCCCTCTCTGCCACTCCCTGGGAGACATTGCTGCTGACAAGACACATGGAACCACCCTAGTGCCCTGAGCTGGACAAGCCACATGGATGCAAGCAGACCTCTGAAGCCGGAGAAGCCACAGAGAGACCCCTGCTAGCGCTGAGATGCTTACAATGTCACTGGACCTAACAACTCTCTACCCACTGGCTTGTGATTGTCCTGCATTTGGCTTCATTGCATGTGTTTCATGAGTCTGAAGAGGACTTTATAGATTGGTATCAGACATATGGCTAATATCAGACTTAAAGCCTTGGACTGGACTGGGTTGGGATGTGTTCTTCATGTACAATTGCTCTTGTATATAAACCTCTTCCTTATACACATATGTGTCCATGGATTTGTTTCTCCAGTCTACCCAGACTAACACAGTCATCATGAACCAGGCCAACACAAATTAAGAGGAGTAGCTTCAAGAAAACAGGACAGAAACACAGCATGACCCTGCAGTCCTATTTGGACCCAGGACCTGGCAGAGCCGGCAGTTCTGGTTCTGACTGGTGGGTCATTTGATAATCCCTCTGAGCTGCCTAATGAGGGGAGTGACGTCATGCAGGGTCATGGGAGGAGAAAGTCCAGGATGAAAACAGCTCCGGGGTGAGTCACCGTGGAGATGCTGCACACATGCACACACACACTCACCGTGGAGATGCTCTACACACACACACACACACACACACACACACGGGCATCACCCCCCTCCTGGCTGCATAGAGGCCTCTCCTCCTCAGAGCAGTCTTTGGGCTGAAATATATGGGCAGAGTGGAGGGTCATCTGTGGCTTCTAAAAAGCAAATCCTTCACTACAAAGCAAGCCAGGTTCCTTGAGCTGAGAATCTGCTAACACTGGGGAGGGAGAATCCCCTCGGACATGCTTCTTTGTGAAAATGAAAACCCTTCTCTCAGTCACTGACCTTTGTCCTACCTGTATCGTCCATCCATTGGAAAGAGCTCTCTGGACACAGGGTCTACACTGCTCTTCCAAGTCACTCTGTGGGTCCCTGCAAGCCAGTCCGGGCCTCCACTAGCCAGCCAGGGTCAGTCACCCTCACGCATAGTCCAGTCTGTGCACAGTGCTCAGGAGAAGCAGGGGGACGGGCCGAGGCACAGAGGACTGGACCCATGTTCACACTAGAAGGCCCTTGGCTCTCTCTGAGCCCCAGTCCACCTCCTTGGCCCTTGCCCTGGCTTTAGTGCACCTGGATATGGCATCTGCCCTCAGTCAATTGTGGTGAACCAACCTCCGTGCTGGCTTTGCCCCCATTTGCATGGTTCTCCTTCTGCACCGTGGCCCCTCAGAGTCCCAGGTTCCTACAGGGGTCCTGCCCTCTGCCCAGAGCTACCTCACAAGGCGATGGCCTCCACACGTCTACCTCCAACACAGACTCCTTCATGGGCAGCTGTGTCCACCTGGGTGGCCGACAGGCACCTCAAACTCCACAGACCCTCAACGGAGGATCACGGCATTTCCCAGAATCCTGTTCCTCCCTCACCCTCCCCTGCACAACTGGCACTGGCACCCGCTTGGTCAGTCCCTGCTGTCAGACACCCTAGATACTGCCTTGGCTCCTTGCTCTAGGACAGACAGCCTTCTTGCTCTCACTGCCAGCCAGGACTCATACACACTGCCCCCACAGCCCTGGAGCTTCTCCCACCCCTTCCACCCTTCTCCATCACCTGGGGGGTTGGGTGGGGGGGTGTCAGTCAATAGCTCTCAAGTCAGCAAGATAAAAGATTCACCCATTCTCAAAGATAGGGGTGCCATGGGGAGCACGGTGGTGTGCTCAGAACTCAGCCGCCCCCCACCCAGCCCCACGTGAGGTAGAGACAGGAAGGGGCGTTGTGGGAAGGTGGAGGAGAGGTCCCCAGCAGGCTCAGTGATGGACCTGTGGAAACACCTGGCCGGGGAAGGTAGGCTCTACAGCTGGCTGCAGCAAGGTTGTACATGTAAATGATTCTGCCCCAGCACCTTGTGAGCACCTCCCCCAGCCGCGCCCCACCCCTCTACCCCCAGCCCCAAACTGGAGGTGCCAGGAGTCCTTGGCTCCTCCTCCTTCTCTCTTCCCAGGGGTTCTGGGTGGGATTTGAGGTAAACGCACTTCCTTTCTGGGATCGGACTACAGCCCCCTCCAGGACGGGGTCCCAGCCACATCAGATGGCTCCTGGGGGGCGGGCGGGGCGGATTGGAGGGTTTGGGTGGGTTCACCTTTGGGTTTCCGTTTCACCACTGGTCTCCCGGCATTCAGGTTGGAATAAACCATACAGGCCCCCTGCAGGTGCTGGGGAGCGCCCGGGCACGTGGGAAGCTCCTGGGGTGGCCCCTTACCTGCGATGTCGCAGAGCTCGGCATCAGACGCGTTCGCCAAGGCCTCCTCCAGCTCGGGCTCCAGCGTCACGCTTTCCAGCACCGGATCTGATGGCTTCTGCTTGGGGACCCAGACCTTTCCTGCAGACGCACATGGGCCGGGGGTGGGAGGGCGCAGCTGTGACCGGCAGCCAGGGGATGGCCTGAGGGCCTGAATGCCAGTGGGGCTTCCCCAAAGAATGGCAACCCTTCTCCGGAGAATGCAGCAGCGTGCGACCCCTGGGGACAAGCTGACCCCTCTTCCAGGAATGCTGCAGCCCTGACTCCATACCAGTCCTAGGGGGGGGGGGGGGGGTGAGTTCTAAAAGAAAGGTATACTGGAAAGTCTGAGAGACTTAATCAAGGGTTCTGGTATTTTAAACTAACCCAGAAACATTACCACTTAGATTAGTAAACGAAGAAGAATTCATCAAGCCAAACTCACTGTCGTCAAGCAGATTTTGACTCACACTGACCCCACTGCACAGACTAGAACGGCCTGCTAGGTTTCTGGGGCTGCAGCTCTTTAAGGGAGTAGAAAACCTCATCTTTCCCCCACAGAGCAGCTGGTGGTTTTGAACCACTGATCTTGCAGCCAGCAGTCCAACACCTAACCCACTGCGCCACAAACAGGGAACGACGTCTGTCCTTGTGTTGACGATGATGCCGGGGCAAAGGTGGTCACAGCAGTGACCACCTGGTGGGACTATTGATGAATCCATGGTCCTCAGACAGGGGGGTCCCCCAGGTGAGAGAAAGGGTCAGGAAGACAATGCCCCACAGAAAATGTACAATAAAGCAAGATACAAATAGAGTGAACCCTTTTAATGCCGTTGATGAAAAGTCATGTGTCTTATTTATTCCCACAACAGATATTGATTAAGTACTTCTGATGCTCACCCTTAGAGCCGGTAGTGGCCCACAGCGAGGAGAAGAGCCTGAGGGTTCCCTGGAGGAGAGCCACAGCACTGGCGCTGACTTAAGGCTCTGGGGACAGAGGGGTGACAGGTGTGGGTGTGGTGGAGTTAGGGGAGGGGTGGCTGGCAGGAGATAAGGGCAGAGAGATTCTGGGCGGCCCTGGGAGGACTTTGGCTTTCACTCTGACATGGGAGTCCATCATGCTGTGATGGGGATGGAGAAAGGCTCACCTGTAACTCTGATTCTCGAGTGAGAAAAAACCCGCGGGGTGGGGTGGAGTGGTGCAGGGTGAGATGGAGCAGGAGACAGAGACTTGAGGAGGCCTGGTGAGAGGCGACCTGGACCAGGGTTGTCTCTCTAGAGGGTGTGCGTGTGCGTGTACGTGTGAAAGGATACATATTCAGAAGGTTAGCCATTCAAAAGGGGTTGGTAGAGGGTATGACTTTGAATTACTTTGCTGTTGAAATTGTTTGCTGCACATATGTACAAATATGCTTGATACAGTTGATGTATGGGATGTTGTAAGAGCTGTAAAAGCCCCAATAAACTGATTTAAAAAAAAAAGCAAGGTCCCTTCTAGCTCACTTTTCTTTTTTTTCAATCATTTTATTGGGGATCTTACAACTCTTATCGCAATCCATACATCCATCTATTGGGT